CCACATCCTCATCAACACTTGTTATTTTGGTTTGGGGGTATTTTTTTCACTGGTAGCCATCCTAATGGGTGTGAGAGAGGGCTGCGATTTTAAGGAGAGTGATCAGGGTAGGCTTTGGTGAGGATGCGGCATTCGAGACTTGATGAAGTATAAAGTGGATATCTTGGAGGAAAGCGCTCTAGGCAGAAGGGGCAGTGGACCCTGAGGCAGGAGCCTGCCTGGTATGTTTCAGGAACAGCAGGGAGGCCAGAGTGGCTGCGGTAGCATGAATGGGCGGGAGACCGGAAGACATGAGGTCACGTGGGAGCCATGGGAGGGTCTTGAGCAGAGGAAGGACATGATCTGACTTTTAAAGAATCCCTCTGGCTGCTGTGTTGGGCATGGGCTGTGGGGCAACAAGGGTGGGAGGGCAGGGGGGGCGGGGAAGGGGGTACGCCAGCACAGAGACTATTGCTATTGCAACCAACCCCTGAGAGAATGGAGACTTGAACCAGGGCATTGCGGTAGGAGTGGAGAAAAGTGACTGGAGGCTGGATGTAGCTTAAAGGCAGGGCCCATAAGATTCCCTGATGGATCAAAAGTGAAATGCAAGAGGAAGAGGAGTCTAAGTTGACTCCAGAGATTTTGGCCCAAATAGGATAAATGGAGTTGCCATCAATTGAGAAAGGTGAGGCTGAGAGAGGTGGAGGTGGAAAAAAGATGAAGAGTTCAGGTTCAGAGCCATGCTTTCCTACCCAAACCAGACATTCTGTTAGTGTTCTGCAAAGGAGATGATGGCACCCAGGTGTTTGACTACCTAACAAGTTGGGGGGTAAGGGACACAAATCCAGGGTGAAGGAAGACAAGTCACACCAGCACTATTAACTGAGCCCTTACTCAGAGCCAGGCACCGTGCTGAGAGCTTCCCAGTGATCATCTCCCTGATGCTTACGACAGCCCTGCCACGCAGATACTATCACTGGCCCGACCTTGCAGATGAGCACCCAGCCTTGGGGACATGAAGCCACTGGCTTGAGGCCACCAGATAGTAAGTGGCAGAGCCAGAGTTTGAACTCAGGTCTGCCTAACTCAGATCCCACATTTTTACCTCTGCTATTGACTAAGCCCAGCAGAAGTCAGGAGAAGATTCATTGAAGGAATGGACTTAACCTCAATCTTAAAAGACAGGGTTTCTTAAAAAGGAGATAGAGAGTGTGTTCAACAGATGTAGGGTGGAGTCCCAACTCTTTGCCACATGCTATGAGGCCCTGTTTGGCCCGGTCCCTGCTGTCCTCTGCAGTTTTTTCTTGAGCCACTTGTTCATGACGCTCCACTGGCTGATTTTGAGACACACCAAGATTTTTTCCAATTCAGGGCTTTAACTTATACAATTCCCTCTCCCTGGAATGCTCTTCAGCCTGTCTTTTTTTCTTGGATGACTCCTACACACCTCCGGTGGCTCAGCCTAAATGGTACCTCCTTGGGGAAGCCATCCCTGATCCACCCCCTCACCCATCTAGAACTAGTCCCCTCCCACTGCACTGGTTCTTTTTTTTTTTTTTTTTTTTTTTTTTTTGAGACAGAGTCTCACTCTGTTGCCTGGGCTAGAGTGCTGTGGCTGATGCCTAGCTCACAGCAACCTCAAACTCCTGGGCTCACATGATCCTCCTGTCTCAGCCTCCCGAGTAGCTGGGACTACAGGCATGCGCTGCCATGCCCGGCTAATGTTTTCTATATATATTTTAGTTGGCCAATTAATTTGTTTCTATTTTTAGTAGAGATGGGGTCTCGTTCTTGCTCAGGCTGGTCTCGAACTCCTGAGCTCAAACAATCCACTCCAGCCTCCCAGAGTGCTAGGATTACAGGCGTGAGCCACCACGCCCAGCCTGCACTGGTTCTTGATAGCACTTAAGATAATTCTCGTAATTATTTGTGCAATGTCCACCTCTCCCATTAGATTAGTGCTGTCCAATCAAATGTTCTGCTATTATGGAAATGTTCTAGACCTACACTGTCCAATATGGTAGCCACTAGCCACAAATAGCTATTTAGCATTTGAAATGTGGGTAATGTGACTGAAGGACAGATTTTTAGAGTTTTACATATTTTATATTGTCAATTATACTGTATAAATCATTTCATACACAAATTACATAATTGAAAATAATTTAACTTTAAATTTAAATAGCCACATGTAGCTAGTGGCTACCATATTGGATGTTACAACTCTAGATTGTGAGTTCCTTAAGGTCAATAACCATTCTACCTTACTCAGTTGTTGAATGCTTTGTACCTAGGATGGTGTTAAAGTAAATTAGTGAATGAAGGAAGGAAGGAAGCAATGAATCAATGGAGTCTGTAAACTTGCTTTCAAGAAATCATCCTAGGAAGGAGAGACCTAGAAAAGTCTAACTTGCACAAGGTCTCACAATAAGGCAAGAGTAGGATGCAAAATCCTAGACTCCTGAATCTCTTGTACATGTGCTATCTCTGGGTAAACAGCAGGAGAAAGACAAGGGTCATTTGTGGTCTCAAGAGAACCATCCCAGAGCTGTGCAAAGGTGCCCCCAAGTGCAAGGAAGGGCTGTTTACTTAGACACCTTCACCCTTTTACTCCCTTGTAAACTACTTAGTGGCTTATAATCTACTAACACTTGGTCTCCCACAAGACTGAACCTCTTCCTAAATCCACTTTTGCCAACCTTCTACAAGGCACTCTGAATTTTTTTTAACCATAATTTTCTCAGGAAATCTGCTGCCTGCAATCTGTGCATAATATATGCAGGGTGTGGTTTAAAAAACATCTAAGTCGTGATTTGTAACCCACTCAGATTCATGTGGCCATTCCTTTTAGCTTACTCTTTTTTAGAAATTGAGGTCAACACATTTGAAGGCTAATTTTAAATTCATTCAAATGTAGTTTGTGGGAGTCACAGATTATAATTCGGGGGAGTCCAGCATCATGAACCTACATATTTTATTTTTCTAAATGATTTTTTTCAGATGTAGTAATAATAATAATAACTAATATGCATTGAGTGCTTTGTGCCTGCCAAGAATTTAGCACACATTATCTCATTTGATCTTCACAATAACCCTATAAATCAAATGCTTTATCATCCTCATTTTATAGTTAGAGAAACTAAGTCTCAGAAAGGTTAAGTCACTTACTTAAAGTCACACAGCAAGGAGGTGGCAGAGTCATGATTTGAACCCAAGTCTGTCTGACTCAAGAGCTAATGTACCTAACCGGTACACAATTTGGTCTCTCTAAAGATAATATATGTATTTATGTCTATAAAACATCACAAAGAATAATCAATAAACTTAACTCTGGGGAATAGGACTAGGATTTGAAAGGAAGGAGACTTACTTTTTATTCTTGTGCTTTTCTTTGGAATTTATTTATCTTTATTTATTGGTACATTATATTCATATAAAAACTGAATTAATTTTTAAATTTAAATAAGTAAAAACCTCTTCCTAGTTTTAGTTTTTTAAACTAAGGAAGGAATTGTCATGATAATGTCTGGTCTACATATTAGTCGATTAAATATAAATGAATCTTTTGCAAAGTTCACATGCTCTGACATTATTGGAAAATTTACCCCAGAAAAACTGCAGTTCCAATAGGTTGTCTTATTCTGAGCAATTAATTTCATATTTCTGGTTTTGAATTATTTTTAATTGGAAGATAATAGTTTGATTTTTGATCATATTTATTTTCAATGACAGTGATACGTTTTCCTTGAGAGATTTGCAATCAGACATTTACATTTTTATGTACTAATACATCAACCTCCAGATATTATAACTTGACATCCTTTAGCATTCGTGAAACAATGCCATATTACATAATGAGATATGCTTTTTGTGGATCAATTAATGAAAGCTTAAAAGCAAATTTAAAATTAATTAAAATTTTAAAATAAAAATTAATTTTACACGAATTGAGAAGTAAATATTACAACCCCCTTCAGTACTCAGAGCCTCAGAGAACTGTATCAGTCACGCTAAAAGTCACTTGGGAGAATTCCTCAGTAGCTTAGAGGGAAAAAAACCCACCATTTTTTAAGTCAAGAAAATACATACATACTAACAATAATTAATCCTTTAAAGTGAATCTACTTTTACCATCCAAATGGCTAGTGATTCTAAAAATAAATAAAACAACAACCGGAAATGTTCCTTTTAATGCTCCCTCTCATACACTTGGAATTTGCTTAACAAATCACCATCTACTTGTGGTAGGAAATATCTGTAAGCCCCTCTACAAGGCCCCTGTCCTTTCCATTGCTTGGTTGTATTTCCCTAAGATTCTAATAGCAAATTTGCTATCTCTTTAAAAATTCCCCATCCTCAAAGGAGTACATTTCTGATGTTCAGACGGCGAATCTCACTCTAGCTAGCTGTTACAAAAACCTTTCATTCAGAAGCAGGCAAGAGGTTTCAGCGACCGTGCACAGCCTTCTCATTCACACACTTCATAAACAACAGGACTTTGCCCAAGCCTGTCCTCTAGGAAGGAATCCCAGCTTTTTAGAAACCAGCCTGCAACATCGGTATCATTCCCTTCCAAAAGACCTTGCTGAAAGAATTAGGAATTTCAAGGCATAGAAGAAGGGCTGGAAAGGACTGGTGTCATTGCGTGGACTTCATCAATTCAGTCCACATATCAAAACAGCAGCTAATGCTTTCTTAAAGCACAGTCCTCAAAATCCCTTTAGGATTGAGAGCAATTAAAAGGGAAAGCATAACCCCCGTGGCTCCCCAGAAGGTCCTGACAGATCTGAAAAAAAAAAAAAAATTTTTTTTTTTTTAACTGAGTCGGAGACACAGAGGCTGGGCAAACGGGGAAGGAAAATGGCTTGTTTTCCTCCAGGCCTAATTCCTCCTTCTGAAACAGTTCCCATTAAATTCAAGAAGCCACGCAGAGATGCCCCCCTCCCGCCTCCCCTTGCAGGTTTCCGTTTTTTTAAAAGAAAGCCTGCTTGCCTCTCTCTCGCCCCCATGACACTCACGGCAGCTGCCTTAGCTGGAATAAGTCCTCCTCCATGTCCGCGCTGCGCCAGGACGAGCCCTTTTCATGGCCCTTACATCGTAGCGGCGGAAAGCGAGCCCTCGGGGCTTTCAGCACCGGGGTGCTGGACAGCTCCCGCGCCGCTGCCTCCCTCGCGCAGCAGCTGTTCGGGGGAGGAAGCCCGCTGGGGACCAGCCCACTGGACAAAGCCGCCGCCACCGGAGACCGCTGCGAGAGTGGGCGGAGAGGAGGAGGCGGAGGGCAGAGCAAGCTGCGCGGGGAGAGGGGGCGGGGAGGGCCCTTCTGCTCAGAGGAGTTGACAGGCTCTCCGTGGCTGGTGGTGCTTTACCGGGACGCTTACAGGGCACGCCAGCCTGTGAAATGGCTGTCCGGGTACCAATGAGCATCCTCGGGTTGACGACGCCTCCCCAAATGTTTGCTTGTGGGGATTCATGAATGATATCAGCATAAATATCCTTGAAGCCCAGGCTGCTATGACAAATGCAGGTATGCATTTTTTAAACGTATGCGTGCATTTAAGTACTGTTTATGAAGCACCCACTGTGTGCCAGTCACCGTAATAGACACTCAGGGGGTGTGGCAGGACAAATTTGACATGTCACTGTCATAGAGCTGAAGGTCTAGCGAAATGAATCAAGGAAAAAAAAATGCAAGTATGAGAAGGCCAAAGATCGCTCATTCATTCATTCGACAAGCATTATTGTGTGGTTTCTACAGCCCGGACTCAGGGGAATCCAAGATGAATTAAGTTCAAGTCCCTGCCTTCAATATCCTCCCTGTCTCATTCAGTGGTACCCTTGGTCCTCCTGCCACTAGAATTTCTGCTCCTCCCTTTAGAAGCTCCATGAGGTTTCAGTGATGTATCAAAGTCCCTAGAACAGTGTCTGGCACCTAGAAGGCCCTCAATAAATATTTGTTGATTGAATAGTTCTCAATTCAGCCTGCACATAAGAATCACCTGGCTCCTCCACAGACCAATTGAACCCAACCCTCTGGAAGCAGGGAGGCAGACCTTGGGTATTTTTTAAAAGCTCTCCAGCAAACTAGAGTAAAATCTCTGATCCGGTACAAACAAATGAAGAGAAAAGAAAAGAAGTTATATGACTGAAAACTACAAAGATGAACCATGATGGCAGCTGGCAAGAAGTATGAGAATGATGATTGAATGAAGGCTCACATGGAACATTTTTTTTCTTTAATTGTTGACAAAGTGGGGAGTAAGTTGGGAGAGGGTGCAAGGAAACTATCTGAGAACTGGAAGCAATCTCACAGCAAACATACATCATAATTTCACATCAAGTCTAAAAAAGGACTTGGAAATCCGGAGTCAAGTGTGTGCCAGGCGCCCAAATATGCACTTGACCCACACTGTTGACCTTGATCTTTCCAACAATCCTATGAAGCAGATTTTCATCCTCATTTTACAGATGAGAAAACAAGGCTCAGAGAAGGGCAAGTTATTTGCACAAGGTCACTCAGACAGGAAAGAGTTGACCTGGAATTAAAACCCAGGCAGTCTGTCTCCACACCCTACATCTTTAAGTGCTAGGCTATCTTTGAGAGTCTCAAAAGAAACCATCCATTGTGTGTAGCAGGAAAAATTTGAATTATTGAAACATTTGATAACTTTAAATGAATATTGGGAAAACCAATCATACAGTGGTACTAAAATTCCAATTCATTATTTGTCTAGCAAATATTAATTGAGCAACAGCTATGTGCCTGCCACAATGATGGTTTGAACTTATTCATGGCTACTTCTGACCTCTCACTGGAGAGTCAATCACAGGTTGCCCCGTCTGCACTTTAAAGAAATTTGCCCCATCCCTGCTGTGCATCACATTAGGTGTCACATGATTTCTGGCCATAGCTGATTAGTTAAGGGGGTGGGCACTAACCTAAAGACATCCAATCCAAATGCTTATCAGTAGCCAGGTTGTATAACTGGGAAAGGGGGTTGGGCATTCTGATACCTTCTCAATGGTGGATTTTTTTTTTTTTTTTTTTTTTGAGAGAGACAGTCTCACTTTGTTGCCCAAGTTAGAGTGCGGTCACGTCAGCCTAGCTCACAGCAACCTCAAACTCCTAGGCTCAAGTGATCCTCCTGCCTCAGCCTCCCCAATAGCTGGGATTATAGGCATGTGCCACCATGCCTGGCTAATTTCTTCTATATATTTTTAGTTGTCCGGCTAATTTCTTTCTATTTTTAGTAGAGACAGGGTCTTGCTCTTGCTCAGGCTGGTCTCGAACTCCTGAGCTCAAATGATCCACCTGCCTCGGCCTCCAGAGTGCTAGGATTACAGGCTTGAGCCACTATGCCCGGCCTCAGTGGTGGATTTATATGTCTCCAAAGGCTCTTGCTCAAACTACCCCTCCTTTTTTCCCTCAATCCTTAGAGCCAGGTGAGGTTCTCTAGGGCTCCATAAATATTCAGTGGGCTCATCCTAATTAGTCCCCTTAACATCCCATTTCAGATTCTACTCATTTGCCTTAATCAGGATTTTTGGAGGTTCAACAGAGACTCACTCAAGTTCTCTTGGAGAAAAGGAGTTTGTGGCCTGGAACTGGAGTTGTCAGACCAGGACCACCAACCCTGTGTAGTCTCTTGTAAGCTCCAGCTCTTCCTAGCTGGGTGATCTTATCTAACTTTCTGTGCCTGGGTTTCCTCATCAGAAATACAGGGATAAACAACCATACCAACTTCACAAGGTAGTGTGAGGACCAAGGATAAATTGAAGATAAAGGGCTACACAGCTTTTCTGGCACATAATAAAGACAAAATAAGTGTTACCTGTTGTGATGGTTAATTTTAACCCTTTGCACTCGCTTGCTTTTTTCTCGATTCCTTTATTCTACTCGGGATTTAATTTTTTAAATACCCCAGATTTTACAAAGCGTGACAATAGAATAAAAAACTGGAGTTTCTTTTCATACAAACTTATTTATTTGGATTTTTTAATATTTCAAATTATAGATACATTCAAAGAGTAATTTTAATCTCTATAATTTTTGCTAACCATGTCGAGTCACCCTCGACATCCGAGTGCAAAGGGTTAAGTGTCAACTTGGCTGGATTAAGAAATACGTAGAGAACTGGTAAGGCACTATTTTTTAGTGTGTCTGGGAGGGTGTTTCCAGAGGAGATTGGCATGTGAGTCTGAGTGGACCAGGAGGGGAAGACCTGCCCTCAATGTGAGTGGGTGTCATCCAGTTGGCTGGGGCATGGATGGGACAAAAGTAGAGGAAAGTTGAAGATCTCTTTCCTGGAGCTGGAATGCACTCTCTTCTTTTCCATCCCTTGAACACTAGAGCTCAGGTTTTACAGCCTTTACATTCCAGGACTTTTACTACACAGCTGCCTGGGTTCTCAGGCCTTTAAACTTGGACTGAGTCATGCTACTGGAATGCCTGGATCTCCAGCTTGCTGATGGCATGTTATGGGACTTCTCAGTCTCCATTATTGCATGAGCCAATTCCCCTGATAATTTCCCTCTAGAAGGAGATTATATGTATATAATCTCCATCCTATTGGTTCTGTCTCTCTGAAGAACCCTGACTATTATGCTGTTTCTCTCTCCACAGCCCCACAAATATCTTTTCTGCTCCCTTAAAATATTAGTTGGCTTATGGAGGATAGGAAGGGAAGGTTGTTTGGGGGAAAATGAAGTTCTCATCAAGCTTATGGAAATCAACAGAAAATGTCCAAAATTGAGAAATCAAAAACTAGCCATATCAGCATCATATTTAGAAATATACTAGTAGTTACCGAAAGAGGCAGCTGAAAGACTGAGGCTGGGGTGGAAAGAAGTGGAATAGTGACTTTTTCCAAATTGTAAATTTCGTGCAATTTTATTGTTAAAATCATTAGCATCTTATTACCATGATTTTTAAAAATAATTTTTATTGTGGTAAATATGTATGTCTTAGCCAGCTCAGCTGCTGTAACAAAATATCATAGTCCAGGTGGCTTAAAAAGCAGAAATTTACTTATCATAGTTCTAGAGGCTGGGAAGTCCAAGATCAAGAAGCCAGTGTTGTTCTGTTCTGGTAGTCTGGTAAGGCTCTCTTCCTAGCTTGCAAACAGCCATCTTTTCACTGTATGCTCATATGGCCTTTCCTCAGTGTGTAAACAGAGAGAGAGAAAGCAACCTTTCTGGTGTCTTGTCTTTTCTTTTCCTTTGGAGACATAGTCTTGTTCTGTCACCCAGGCTAGAGTGCAGTAGCATCATCATAGCTCACTGTAACCTCAAACACCTGGGCTCATACGATCCTCCTGCCTTAACCTCTCAAGTAGCTGGGACCACCTGGCCTGGCTAATTTTTCTATTTTTTTTTGTAGAGGCAGGGTCTCACTTTTGCTCAGGCTGGTCTCAAACACCTGTTGTCAAGCAGTCTTGGTCTCCCAAAGTGCTAGGATTACAGGGGTGAACCACTGTACCTGGCCCCTGGTGTATTTTCTTATAAGGGAGAGAGAGAAAAAGCAAGGAAGGAAGAAAGGAGGGAAGGGAGGGAGGAAGGAAAAGAAAGAAAGAAATGAAGGGAGGAGGGAAGGGGAGAGACGGAGGGAGGGAAGAAAAGAAAGAAAGATTTATTTAAAAGTAAATAAATTAGGGGAAGCTGAATGACAGGTATACTAGAACTCTCTGTTCTATCTATAACTCTTCCATAAATCCAAAATTATTCCAAAATGAAAGGTTTAATTTTAAAAAGTTAAAAACCCCAAGGTTTGGTACCAACTTAATATAGTACATTTTATAGGAATAGATAAAAATGTTCAACGTCTATTAGAATTTTTGTTATTAATATTACATAAAATAATAACTCATCTATAAATGTTCCTTCTCTCCATTATATTTATGGAACAATTTTATTCAAACTGTGGACGTCTATCCTCAATGGCAGTGTCTTTGTCATGCTGGAGCCACTCTTTAACTCACTTAACTCAGCTTTTTCCAGAATATAGTATGTTCACTTCCATTTCAGCTGTTTGAGATATAGCACTTTGAAATTTGCCACTGGTGGTTCCTTAAAAAGTTAAACATAGAATTACTCTATGATCTGGCAATTTTACTCGTAGGGACATACTCAAAAGAACTGAAAACAGAGGATTCAAACAGATATTTGTTCATCAACATTCATAGCAACATTATTAATTAACAATAGTCAAACAGAAGAAGGAACCCAAGCCCCCATCAACAGATGAATGGGTAAACAAAATGGGATATAGCCATGCGATAGAATAGCATTCAGCCATAAAAATGAATGAAACTTCGATAGATGCTATAACATGGATAATCCTTGAAGACATTATGCTGAGTGAAAAAAGCCAGACATAAAAAGACAAATACTGTATGATTCTACTCATATGACATACCTAACACAGGC